AGAAATGATCCACACACCCCTGGCCCCATAACCCTTCTACGCAAACGTGAAGGCCACAAGTCCTGAAGCTTCGCGAACGCGGCCTCTTCTTCGCGAATGCGAAAAGCAAAAGCACCCAGTCCCCAAATTCTCTATCGCGAACGCGAGGCTCCGTGAACGCGAAGAAGGAATCCAGAACCAGCATACCAACAGTTTTAGACTTAGCTCCGGACGGTCCGAAATGCATCTGAGCCCCTCGATACCCCGTCCAAATGCACCAACAAGTCCATAACCATAATACAGACCTGCTCGAACCCTCGGAACACATAAAACAACATCGAAACTAAGAATCGCACCCCAAAACCAAATTGAATCAACTTATGAACTTCAAACTTCTCAACTAGCTCCGAACGCGCCGAATCATACTTAAACTACTCGGAATCACTCCAAATTTTACGTACAAGTCATAAATTACTATACGGAATTATTTTCGGGCTCGGAATCCCAAACGGACCTCGATAATACTAAAGTCTACTCCAAACCAAATTTAAAGAACTAGAAAACCTTCAATGAACCAACTTTCAACATTAAGCACCGAAATGCTCCCGGATCACCCGAAACCCGATCCGAACACATTCCCAAGTCCAAGTATTGGAACCATCAAATTCCGGTTCCGAGGTCGTTTACTCCAAATGTTGGCTCAAGTCAAACTTGGCCATCACAGGCCACTATTAAGGAACTAAGTGTTCCGATTTCAACCCGAACCCTTCCCAACCTAAACCAACCATCCCCCAAGTTATAAAACAGTAAAAGCACATATGGGGAGCCTTAATTAGGGGAACGGGGATCTAGAAAGCAAAATGACTGATCGGGTCGTTACATCTAAAGAGGAGGTGAAGCACTCCATCATTAATATACTCAAGATAAGCATTTAATAGAGATTTTTACCTATTTTCTTCCATTTAAACACATGTGTTGACATATTTCTTACTCGGATTTCAATATTTCTCAAGATCTCATAAGAAATCCCTTACGAACTCAAACACTCCAAAAAGTAGCTAGGTTTTAACCCTAAAGAGGTAAGATTCATACTCAATACTTCAATACAAGTATGGGATGGTATTTAGGGAGTATTATGAAGTAAGGTCACCCTTTAAATAAAGAATAACACTATTTCTTGAAATGTGTAATTGTGAACTAAGTTTTCTAACAAAGAAGAAGATGAATAATGCTAGATTGAGTTGAATGGTGTAGTTTGGAGTTTCTCGTAAATGGCTTGAGATTCATAATACTTAAAATAGAGGAACTAGGATTGAAACACCATAAATAGAACCCCACATGAGAGAATGAATATTTTCATTACTTAGACTGGAACTATCAGAGTCTGAATGAGATGTTGGTAACCAATGTCTATTATACCATGCTCTTGTTGGATATTTGGAGACATGCGGAGTTAGCTAATGGGACTCTCAAAGGTATGTTGAGATGTATCCTTCCATAGAATCTTTTCCTAAATTCGTGTCTTCTAAATATCAAAAATGTCTAAACGGTTCCTAAATGTTAGTATATGATTGTGGAAACAAGTACTCATGCATTAGTCATGTTACTTCAAATTGATATGATTTCAAATAATATGCTTCACATGTTATGAATCAACCTGCAATGACCCAGTCGATCATTTTGTATATTTGAGTCCATGCCCCTATTTGATGCTTCTCATACGTGTGTTTGTTGTTTGTTATTTGCGGTATTATTTAGTTCTACTTCGGAAAGGTTTAAGAGTGATTGGAGACACTTAGTCTCATTTTGAAAGCTTAAGTGGCCAAGAGTTGATCAAGATTTAACTTTTAGTAGAAGGTCTCGAAATGGTGATTTGATGGTTTTAATAGTTTCGTATGGTGATTTTGGTCTTAGACGTGTGCTAGGATTTGGATTCAGAGATTCTTAGGAGGTTTTGGCTCTATTTGCCGAAAGTTGGTAATTTGAAGGTTTGGAGAGTTTATAGGTTTGACCGGAAGTTGATTTTGAGATTATCGGATTCCGATTGGTGTTCATGAATTTTAGATAGGTTTATTTGGTTGATTGGAACTTGTATGCAAAGTTTGGTTGGAATCCGGAATGTTTAGGTATGATTCTGACGCGTTTGTTGAAATTAGGAAGTTTGGAAGATAAGAGATGGATTTTTAATGTTGATTCGTAGTTTTGATGTTAATCGTGGTGTTTTGAGCTTTTGGATAGGTTTGTGTAAGGTACTAGGACTTGTTGATATGATTTTACGGGGTCCCAGGAGGCTCAAATGTGTTTTGAATTGGTTTTGTACCATTTGAAAATAGTTTGGCAGTTCTGGTTCTGGTGCATTGCACCTGCGGAAGTTTTGGCGCAGGTGCGACTAATCTGCCACATCTGTGGAGTTGAGGTAATCTTGGGGTTTTTTATCTTCTGCGGAGAGGGGGGCTCAGGTGCGAAGGCGCACCTGCAAAGTTTGTGAGCGCGCTAACGAGGATCGGCAGGCATGGGACGTTTGCGCACATGCGAAGGAACAAGAAGCACCTGTGGAGTCGCGGATGCAATGCATGGGCCGCAGATGTGGAAGGTCAAGATCATTATTGAGGCTCGCATATGCGACCTTGGGACCACAGAAGGAGTGTCGTAGATGCAACCTTTTTGTCTGCAGATACGATATCGCTGGCAGATGTTATATTTTCGAGGGTTTAGCTTAGTTTTTATTATTTTGAGTTTTGGAGCTCGGTAAGAGGCAATTTTTGAGGATATTTTCATTAATACTTTGTGGGTAAGTAATTTTCACTTGGATTGACTATATATCTTGAATTTCCATTTAATTGTGAAATTGTGGAGGATAAATTAGGGTTTTTGTCGACAACTTAAAAGGATGAATTTTGGAGATTTGATGGTCGATTTGGACTTGGTTTTGGAATCTAACCATATATTTGGACTCGTGGGATTATGTGTAGTCTAAATCTTCACCTTGACTCGGATTTTGACCATGTGGGCTCAGGTTGATTTTTGTTGACTTTTTGGGAATTGAATAAAAATTGAAGCTTAATTATTTAGAATTGATTCATATGGCTTTGTTTTACATTATTGAATAGCCCGGGTGTTTTTCTTTGTGAGGATGAGAGATATATGCACGACGGGTGTTTTCGTGCTGTGAGGAAGAGACTGTTATATGCACGACAGATGTTTCCATGCTATTGATATGATATCTTTTACTCATTTCTCTTATTATTCGGATTCATGTATTTGACTTTGTTATTTTCGTGGTTATCATTTCATCCTCTTGGATTTGAGTTGTTTAGAAAGGCTTGGTGGTGAAATTGGAGAAACATGGTTGCTATTCTTCTAGTTAATCGTTTTACTATTTCACATATTTGCTTCTGTTGTTTATCTTGCTATTTGTCTTGTTATTCCTCTTGTTATTTCACTTGTTATTTCTCTCGTTATCTCTCTTGCCTATTAACTGCACAAATTTATAAGTAAGTGTCTTGTCTTAGCTTCGTCACAACCTCGTCGGAGTTAGGCTCGACACTTACTGAGTACATGAGGTCAGTTGTATTTATACTACACTTCTGCACTTCTTATGCATATTCCGGCACTGGTCTCAGCGAAATCTCAAGAGGTGCTTAGCTTGGGCATCTAGGTGATTCGAGGTAGCACTGCATCTCTGTCCGCAGACTCTGGAGTCGCCTTCATTACCTCTATTACTGTTTATTTGTATCAGACAATATTGTATTTCATTTTGGACTTTGTATTTCGTATTCCATAGAGCTCATATACACAGTGACACCAGTCTTGAAGATTTGTTTAGACAGTATATTGGTTTAGACTCATTACGTGATTTCGGAGCTTTTATCCTTATTTATGATATTATGTGGTTAAACGTTTAGTTGTTATTTCATTGCTTATTATAAATGTATTGGCTTGCCTAGAAAGTGGTGTTAGGCACCATCACGACCCCTTGATTGGGATTTTGGGTCATGACATACAAAAATTTGCCTTATTACCAATAATTAAATAAATAGTGATGATAGTTTCACGCGTCTTTTCATTTTCTCTCCTAGTAATAGCATAAACATTTGTATCAAGTGGTTCGAAAAAGTCATGCTTTGTTTATCGAATGTCTCCTAAGGGGCCAAGCAAATCATGCCATTAGGGCAAAAAATGGATGTTGATTTAAATAGTCTCCAAATGGAGAAATGCGTTTTTTTTTTTTTGGATACACTAAAAAGGTATGTCACATAAAATGAGATAGAAGGAGTAAATTATTAGTGTTTTTTTGGTCTTATTTATGTATTTCCTAAGCACCAAAAGTGCTTATAAACCAAAATATCCAAAAGTCATAAGTTGGTTAGCTTATAAGCATTCTTGGTTTGATTCAAAGTACTATTTATCCTTCTTCTTCTTGGTAATTTCCAAACCCTTCCCACTCCTAACTTGCTTTTCATTCTATTTCATTGTTCTATCCGTTTCTGTTATCCTTTTTCTCTCATTTTAACAAAGTAAGTACTGATAAGCAATTTCTTGTTAAACACTCCAACTACTTACTATCAATTTCATTTTATACAAACTCAGATGTATATTTAATAAATAAAAATCAATTTCTGCACTTGACGCTTATCAATTAATTTTAATCAACTGAACCAAACGAGCTCTAAATCAAGTAAACGAACCAATTTTTCATTTTGATTTAGATGAAAGATGTAGCTTTAATTTTATAAATGAACTTAATGATTAGCTATTTTATATTAAATCTAAATATTTTCCTTTTCATAAGAAGTAGTAACTAATTCATTTATAACTTTTCTTTAATAATTAATCCCTTTTCTGGTTATATTTACCGTTGAGTACCACCCTCTTCATGTTATATTAATCCATTGTTCTTGCGAATCAAATCTAGACTTCCATATCTAAATAAACCTAGTATAAGAGAATAGGTGGCCGCTGTAGCTTCAATCTCCTTCACACCAGCCTAATAATATGGTAAGATTGCATTGGGACGTGGATTACTTCTCACCCCATTATACAATTAAGTCTAAACCATCTACATTCCTAAACTCGATACTACAACAAATCCTTACAATTATAGATATCACTTCCCAGATACACTTTTATACACATTCTACTATGATGTATACTGCTACTCTACTCAATGTCTTAACCAGGGAGGTTGGAGTTTAAACTATGTAAAAGAACAAGATAGTCAATTCAGTAGTCCAGCACAGTGTAAATACACCAGAATTACGAGAATATAGACTGCTGGCCTGGCAGTTCCAGAAGATGATTCTTGCCTAAGCATGGTCAATTCTTCAGACGTTTCTTCTTCTTCATGCAAGCATAACTCATCCCGGGGAGCATTTCATCTACAAAAGTGTCATGCTGATGCTGAAGGTCGTGTTTTCAGCCTACTAGAGATATACGCCAACAACTTCAACTATTTGATCTGAGACGGTGGATCTTAGCTTTGGTGGCATCCTGCATAGTTAAAACATCAAATTGAGCTTAACATATAGACGATTTAAAATAGATAAAATAAAGGACTCTCCCGCTCCAGTCGCATAGAAGACCTTAGGCATAATGGGTGATTGGGCCTCAGGCACATTGTATGTTGCTGCCTATACAATAGCCGCAAAAAGTGAAATTTGTCTGACAGTTTTAATATACCTCCCTATACCAAGTTATATATGATTTGTTATGCAGCTAGGACAGTGCAAAAGTTCTTACTAGTTTGAAAATAACTTTGGCAGTTTCATTTTATTAATTTGCTTGTCCATGGTGAAAATCAAAATTTAACTGTAAACTGGATAGTTTACAATACACTTTTTAGAGGATTGAATTTGACTAGCGAAGAGCATAACAAAGATGACTGTTGCAATATTGATGATAATAAAGAACCCTTGACAGAAGTGGTTAGAGTGAGCTTCTTGGGAAGGAGAAAAAGAAGGGAAAAATAATTTTTTTAAGTGTGAAGATGAGTCGTTTGTTCCGGAAAACTTGCCTCAAGTGTGAAAACAGTTCTCCAACTAAAGATGTATATTATTTTGGATACCTAAATACTTAGGGGGGAAAAAAGGGGAGTTTGTTGACTAACTTGAAGAAAAGAAAGTAGGATGCAAAATCAAGGTTGGAATTCGCTAATACCTCCTTCAATTTATCGGTTGATCTATCAGTTCGTTGACCAGCAGGTCTGACAGTGTTCACATTTTTCCTCTCTATACCAGCATCTTTAGGCGCCCTGCTCCAAACCAACCATTAAAAGTTTTAACTTCTCAAACAATGCTGTTTAATCAGAATCTCTGTTTCAGACCATAGTGGGATATTACATGAATGAGGCCAGCTATAAGTAGTTGAAAGCGTGTAGCTAGACCTATTTTTATTTACAAAGACCATGTAGCTATATCTTCCTCTAAACAGCGCTACAAAGGCAGGCAGTCTCAGTCAGCGTGTTTGGCGAGTTAGTTCAAGAGTTAACTATGTTTGTTTCTTCAAAGGTTTCAGAGCAGGATCCAGTGTACTTCAAAGGTTCGGGGGTCAATTCCTGAAAACTCCCCTCCACACACACACTCTCTCCTGGCACCTCAAGTGCTATTGGGGTTGTTCTCATCTACTCCTGTTTTTCTTTTCTAATTTATGGGATGGGGTTTTATTATTTTTGATTAAATTAAAGACCAGTTGCTTTGGTGGTAATAGAAGATTGAAGAATTACTTTTAGAAAAAGTTAAAAGAATAGGTCCCAAGAAACCATCATTTACCACAGTTTAAACTTGAACTTCAGATAACAACAAAGACCCCAAAACCCCCTTCCGCCGTCCAAATAAAACACATAGAGAGGCAGAGTCGGCCATCCTCAAAACAGAATGCCATCGCCATCTATATTATCTTCCGCAAAAGAAACAAGAAAAGGCTGGAGCTGAAGATGATGAAAGTTTTGTAGATTTTTTTTTTTTTAATAAATTATGCAAAAGGCTAAGGTCCAATGTACTCCTCATTTAGCATAGTCAAGTAACCTGATCACAATTCATAAAAGAATGTTAGAGATCTTACCTAGATGACAGAGAGTTTGATCTAGTCCCTGATTGGCCTTTTTGAGAGATAACCTTTTCTGGTGTTTTCCTTAACCTGTTATTGAATCAAACAGTTATTGGCATGTTTCAATGAATTCCGACATACTGCTATAATTGATCTGAAGTCAACTAAGATGAGGATAAGATGCAGTACGGGTACCAACAAGAACAAGAATAACACCAAAAGAGGAGGTACAACAAAATCTAAATATGCAATGAATACCATTTGAAGTTCTAGTAGTTGGCTTTGGATCCTCAATACATTCTTGGGCCAGCTATGAAACCATTAAGAACGAGAATGCAGCTAAATAAGCGGTAAACATGGATTTATAATATTATTAAAGTTCAATCATTTTGATTTAGATCCTCAACTACATTCTGGTCTATCAATCACTACACCACTCACATAGAATCATCACCTATCCACCCACATAGCCTTCATTACTAGACAGCTAATCTGCAGCATGATAAGAGACAACTTTCATTTGCTCAAGACACTTTTCGTCATTGTTCATTTGTCAAAAGAAACCCCCACCGCGGCTTAAAAGTGGTCCTCCTGACAAGGCAGATTTGGTCCATGTTTCTTTACATTTATGGAGTCCAATGTGTCATGCCGGGAAGTATCAAGCTTGCTCTATGCTGCTGGTGTAAACAGATCTTTTCTAATAGCAGCAGACAGTTGTGGAATGCTGTTCCTAATTGCATATTCTGGACTACTTGTTTGGAGAGAAATAATAGGTGATTCGACGATAAGAGGGACAACATTTCAATTGTAAAAGCTAGATGTTTAAAAAGTCTCTATCTGTGGAGTAAGGAGAGTATTGTTTCTGACAGACTCATTGTTAGATCTTCTTCAGTCCTTCAATCTATAGAAGGATGCTCGCCTTTCAATTGTAATCTTTCAGTACCTTCTTGGTGCTACTTCTACCTTTTCATCTTAAAAAAGGTGATCCTCCTCCTGATCGTCCCGAACAACAGTAGAAAAGGCGTCATTTGACGGCATTTGCGTCTGATACCTAAGGCAGATTTCCCTATTGATTATCAACAACTCATGAGGTAACAGGCACACAACATGGAATATTCTTGGCCAAGATTCTGATAGTGTGGGAAAAGGATAGTTACCTCTACATCATATTGAAGTTCATTTCTTGTCTTTGTCTATTCGAAATTTTACGAAGATTAGGATAGATATGATTTCCATTACTCAATATTTGGATGGAGGAGAGGTATCAATCCTATGTGACCGTACTATGGTATGTAAGACTAAATTTTATAGAAAATTCTCAGGCAACCTTTTGAAATGCAGGAGTAATACTGAGTTTTCATTATCCATCTTTAGACTAATATACGTTGATACACGAGGATACCAAAAAAGTTGTAGGTAAGAGCTCAAAGAACTAGCATGTGTTATTTGCACTTGCAGTAGAAAGAAAGCAATCGATATTTACCTTTCAACCTCCTTTCTAGGAGTCAAAGAAGTTGAAATCTTTTGCTCTGATCTCTTAGACGATACCTGACCAAACATGGACCAGAAGCTGCACATTAGTGATAGGAAATATAATTGGGTAGTATGAAGACGACAAAACAAATACGTAGAGACAATAGAATTCTTTAAGAATGAACCTAATTGAATAATCAACCTGCTTTGATCCACTATATTTCATATCCAGATCAGGTTTTTCTTGGTTGAAACTGTTTTGAAATGCCCTAAATGCTCGTTTGACAATGTCCTTATCCCCCATTGTCTCCATGATCAAAGATTTTCTCATTGTAGTATTAGAAGCTGTAGAATTTGGTGGACCAAGACTGAGAGACATGTGCAATGATGTGGGAGCTACCCTCCTTTTCTCAAGAGTGGGAGAATTTTTGCTCCTTTGCAATGTTGAACCATTAAACTTTTTGTTCGAGGATTGAGAAGGCGATATGAATGATCTAGAAAGTACTTTATTGGTTTGTGCCGCAGGAGTATTGCTGCTTCGTTGATACGACACCCCATTCACCTTCTTCACTGATGGTTGAGATGAAGAAGTAACCATGGTAGTCGAAATCGGTTTTGATGTTGGAGTGGAAATTCTTGAAGATTTTGTCACAGGTGATACAATTTTCTTCTTTGTTCCAGCTGCTATCCTATCCTCTATTGTTGGATGTACCTGAACATGAACAAGAAACAATTGAAAACAGGAAATGGAAACTTGAACAGAGAGAGTACCGAATAAATTAAATGAAAGGAGTTTGGATCGACAAATAACTTGTAACACCGATAGCCAGAGAAGTGCCAAAAGTTCACCTTTCGAGCCGTATTCTTCAGATTTGGTTTTGGTTTTGGGGTTTTGCTTTTTGGCTCATTATCAAATCGTCGAATCACTTTCGGATTATCTTGAGATCCTCTTTCAGAACTCTGTTCTTCAACCTTGGGAACATCTCCATCGTCACTTGTTTTCAAGCTATTCACCTCCATATCAACAGAAGCATCCTCTTTTGGCTCATCAACAGAATCACTATTATTCACATCAGTTCTTGTCGTTTCCTCTTCACCTTCTGTAGCAGATCTTTCAAAATCAAAATGACTATCAGACACCTCTGTGCTTTCTCTATAATCTTGAAATTGGGATTCATCCAATATTGTAGGCAGAGATTCAATTAGCTTTTCTTGCTCTAATTGTTGCTTTTCTTGCTCTATTTGCTCCATCTTCTGAGCAGCAATCTTCTGGTAGTGTGCTTCAAAATAGGCCTTCTTCTGAGCTACTGATCCAAGTGTTTTACACTTGTCAACTTCTTCAAGATACTTGTTTGGTGAGAAAGATGACCATTTCTCCCAAGAAAGTGCATCATTCTCATACTTTCCAAATGAAACTGATACTTCAAGTGTAGGACTTGAGCCATTTAACTCACCCATCTGTTCATCAATAAATAATTCATACTATAACAATAATTTTAGACAAGAAATCAAAAATGACAACTCACTAAGATTTAAGAAAAAAATAATCTTAAATCTCCAATAATGAGGGAAAATGAATCAACAATCACCAACAAACAGAAAAGTTTTCAAAGAATCATTATCTGAAATAAATTAAAATGGGCCACTTCCAAATGATAAAAAGAGCATAAAAAATTTACCTTGGTCTCAACAACTGGAGTTTCTGCAATGGATTCACCCATTAATCCTAGAATCAAGAATTGCCAATGAGCAAAGTTATCACAAGATTACATTACAATATACAAAACATAGCCTGAAACAAGAATGGGCAATTCAGCAACTCTGAAAAGAAGGAGATCAAAGTAATAAAGAAAGATAGAAGAGTAAGACATTTGCAACCAGTCAATGCATGCCCATGTGCTGTGTTTTCCACTAACCCCCTGTTGCTTTATTTACATATTATTACATTTATTTATTATTTCAAAGAAATACTAAGAAATAATCAGTTTTCCGGGTCTTCTGGAAACTGCTAAGAAATCATAACCTTAATCATCAAGACAGATATTTGCAAAGGAAACAAAAAACAAACACTAAAGATGCTTAAACTTCTCATACAAATACAAAAGTTGTGCCATCTTTTTACTTCAAGTCCTCTTTCTAGTGGCAGAAACTTTTTATTTTCTTTTTTCTCCTTTCCCCACAAAGCAGATAAAGTTGAAAATCATAAAGATTTGAGTCAACATAATGACAAATCAAATGATAAAATCAAGAAAGTGAATTGTTTTTTACTGGTCGTTACCTAAAACAGTTTTAGTGCAAAGACAAGAAAGCGAAATTTTTTTTACTGGTCGTTACCTAAAACAGTTTTAGTGCAAAGACAAGAAAGTGACAGGGCTAACCAAAGATAATGAACAGATCTGTGACAAGAAGAGTTGAAGTTATAGAAATAGTAAAGGAAGGACCACTAAGAAAACACACAAAGTACACAACAGTGCAAACGAACAGAGCGAGGAAGATTCTTCTCTTCTTCTTTTTTTCAAGATTAATAATGGAGGCCATGGGACACGTGTGGTCCCTCCTAAATTAATTTGTTGAACTAATTCATAACGTAACCGTTAAAATTCGTGAAACCAGGTCATTTTTATAGACCGATGGTAAGACTGACTATATTGTATGGGGCGAAGTGTTGGCCGGTCAAAATATTTTATGTCCAGAAGATAAAAGTGGCGGAGATAAGGATGTTGAGGTGAATGTACGGGCATACCAGGTTAGATAAAATTAGAAATGAAATTATTCGGGATAAGGTGGGTGTGGCCCCTGTGGAGGACAAGATACGGGAGACGAGAATTAGATGGTTCGGGCATGTGAAGAGCAGAGATACTGATGCTCCGGTGAGGAAGTGTGAGAGACTGGCATGGGAGGGTCAACAGAGAGGTAGAGGCAGGCCGAAGAAGAATTGGGGAGAGGTGATTAGGCAAGATATGGCGTTGCTCCAGCAGGACATGACCATGGATAGGAATATGTAGAGGTTGAGAATAAAGGTAAAGGGTTAGGTGGCCGAGTGTCATCCTTGTTTGTAGCAGTAGTTTTGATACACCACTTGGTGCCCTCCGTATTTTTTTAGTACCCCTAGTCTTCTGTGACTACTTGTTGTTGTCTTGTGTTTCGGTTTTCTGATTGCATTACCTTTTGCTAGTTTTGTATTTTTGATTTGGTTGTCAGATCGGTTTGCTTGTTATTGCCCCTTCCCTCTCCCCTTACTGAGCCGAGGGTATCGGAAATATCATCTCCGCCTTTTTAAAGGCAGGGGTAAGATTTGTGTATACTCTACTCTCCCCAGATCCCACACTACTGGAAAATATCAATATTCCGACCACCATTTTCCGTCGAAATTTTTCAGTCAAAATTTTTCAGTGGGAAAGCTGTCAAATTCTAGTAGTGGCCACTTATTGGACTACACTGGGTATGTTGTTGTTACTCCTCGGGACAAAACTGCATTACACTTCGTTGTAAAAGGGATTATACATATGTTGTCACCCTTGTTTGAAAAACAAATCCGATAGTTCAGAAAATAAATCAGTAAAGGAAAAGTATAAATTGCTATGAAATTGTATGCATGGCAACAGCTTATAAAATCACGAGTCAGACATCTTATTTCATATTCTCTGACTGGTATACCCTCTTTTGATTATCATTAATTTCATTTCATAATTGACTTTATAGTTATAGTAATAAGTGTTACTAGCAATCCTTGTGGCAAATAATTAAGTGTTGTCAAGCAAGACGTACGTTCTAGACTTTCCATAGTTTCCCACTTTAGATCTCATGTTTAAGAAGGCCCAAAAAGTACTAGCCGAATGGAAAATAGGAAGGGTGAAGGTGCGTGGTCCCAATTTCTTATACAGCTGTTGGCGCTGCCCGAAGAGTTGGACGGTAGCCATAAATCAATACATGGCCATTATAGAAAAAAATTCCGGTACAACAAAAGAAATTCCTAATGCAATTTAATTGAAACAGTCCGTCTTCCAATGCAAAGGAAAGAGCTTATTCTCTACAAGGAAATCAGCCTTTGAAAGTAAAGCTTAAAACAAATCAATTGAACTCCATTTCAAACAAAGAAGATAATTAGAGAATCATATCGCTTAATGCAGGAAATAGGTGCCTATAGGGGTGGGGATTAGCTATTTCCTGGAAAATACATTTGGTATCTCATTTGATGTGTAGGAATTTCCAAAGGGCTTATAATATTCTGAATCACTTCATTTATTGCTTTAAGATTTTGGATATATTGAATACTCACATTTTCTTGTACTGCTATCAACGTAGGCTTACGTGTCAGTCACATTAGGTTTTCCGCTTAGATAAAAACTATAAAACAAGTTTGCGGTAGTTTAAAAATGAAATTAATACAATATCGCGAAACGACCGCTCTCACTTAATTTGGCTCATACCTTGATGCCAAGCTAGCGTTTGGCCATAGATTTTTAAATTTATTCTGAAAAATCTGATTTGGGTGAAGTTTGGTTTGAAAATGAAAATGTGTTTGGACATCTGTCTTGGGTGAAGTTTGGTTTGGAAAAACATGAAACATGACTTATACCCACAAGTTCTAAAAATTATCACAAATACCCAACAGTACAATTATCAATAACATTCATTATATTATCGCAAACCATAGTCCTGAACATAAATAAATTTGATACAAAACTATCATTTTTATAATGAATTACACGATACACTATCAAATGACCGAGAAGACGAAGCAACATCGTTACAAAATAATAAATGATGGGCTCCTTTATAAAATACAAAAGTTTGGGACAATTTTAAAAAAATATAATAGTGATATTTTGGCCCAAAACCAGCTATTGGGCTGGTTTTGGGATTTGGGACTTGGGATTTGGCTAAAATATAAGCAAAATTTATGGTCAAACATATGTTTGCCAAATAAAACTCAAGTTTATTTTGACAAAATCGGGTCCTAAAACTCAGACATTACTTAATAAAGGTGCAAGGCTAATGGAAGTACCGAAACTACAACAAGAGTTGTCGCATAGAAAAAAGAATTCTTTGACATAAAACCGCACATTATTAATTTAATATTTAATTTACCATTTTGTTCTCCACTATGATATTCGCAATACTTATATGAGAATATATGTATTACATATAAATATATATGACATACGAATATTTGCAATACATGCGTATAACATCTAAAGTGACCAAAACCCTAAAAGTAATTGTCTTGTTTTAGTAATTAAAAATAAAACTTTTAAATAAAATTTAAAAACATGATAGTATAAAATAGTACGAATCCTTAATATTTTTAATCTAAAGTGTTTCAACTAGAATTTGTATAAGTATGTAATTAGCAAAATTATTCTTTAGTATTATAGTCTCTCGATATTATTAATATTGTTTGTGAACCAAAAAACTCCTAAGCAAATAAAAATCAATCTTGAGTTAGAGTAGTGTATACGGGTAAAATCGAGCCCGTTGAACATCTCGGTTTCCAGGTAAGACAAACGGGAGTGGAACGTGATCATAAGGAATCGGAGTCTGGGCGAAAAACCTCTCACATCGGGGATCGAGCATAACATCCGCCCTCAGAAGCATCGGGGCCACATCTCCCGGGTCCGATTCGAGTCTCTCAACTTCAGAGAGCATTACCAAGCGGCCGAAAACGACTAACAAAGAGCCGTGATATCCGTGCCCAACCGGATGGCACGGCGTAAATCTCTGCCCGTATCAGCAGTGAATTAGTGATTAGCATAAAGAAAGATTTTTACTCCTTCTTAGAATTGTACTTAGGGTGAAACTCCTCTACTATATAAAGGGAAAACTAACTGTTTATTAAACACATTATAACACGCATATCAAGGCAATATACTCTTATTCTCTCTGTTATTCAAAATTCTTGCTTTTCTTCATCAGTCCTTCATTAGTATGAGTCTGGGATCGAAGGCAGGCACTTCGTTGAGCCGTTACTGAGTCCGAGATCACTCTCCTTATTGGTTTGACAATTTATCACGTCGTTTACTTGTTTAATCTGACATCATTTATCATTTGCATTAAATTAATCCGCATATCCTTAAAATCACATATAAATTCAATTGTTATCCGCTTTTGAGGGTAAACAGTTTGCCGTCCACCGTGGGGCTAAGGATAATAGTGGTCATTTGATATAAATTTCCATAACGCACTCTATTATGCACTTGTTCTTTGAGCTTTTAATTTCAAGTCAAATTAAAAATGCCAAACTCTCAATCTACCCATTTGAACGTTGATGCTGAATCTGGCCACCATGGCGAGAACAATAATGTGGTTCCAGCAACGAGGTGCCCCCTGTTGACCCCAACGGAGTTCCAGTCGGGGACCCGATCGATGCTAACTCACATGTGGCTATCGAAGCGAACTTGCCTACCGACCCCAAAAACAGCATTCGCGGGGAGCCCGATTGATAGCCCGGAGTACACACGACGTCAAAGGTGATGAGATCAATTTGAGGGTGATCTTCGAAATGTTACAGGCTCAACAGGCAGTGATAGCTCAGTTACAGAATCAAAGTCACGCCCCCAGTAGAGTTGAGCCCGAACTGTCCCGGAAAAATACTCGCAGAAATGAACTGGCCACAAAAAGGTCGGGTGAAGCTGAACCCGGGACCAACCCCGAGATAATAAAGATACTTGAGGAACTGACAAAATGGATGGAATCGGGAGAAAATAAAATCGAAGCCAACGACAAAAAAGTGGAGACCTATAGCTCCTGAGTTGATCAAATCCCAGGAGTACCCCCGATATTGAAAGGCTTGGATTCCAAGAAGTTTGTCCAAAAATCTTTCCCTCCGATCGCAGCTCCGAAACCGATCCCAAAGAAGTTCTGTATGCCCGAAATCCCAAAGTATAACGGGGCCACAGATCCGAATGAACACGTGACCTCCTACACGTGTGCCATCAAGGGAAATGACTTGGAAGATGACGAAATCGAGTCGGTTCTACTGAAAAAGTTCGGGGAAACCCTGTCTAAAGGAGCAATGATATGGTATCACAACCTGACCCTAATTCTATTGATTCGTTTGCTATGTTTGCGTATGCCTTCATAAAATT